CTCACTTTTCCTGCTCTGTTACAGGCATTATCTTATTTTCTGCTCAGAAACAAAAGAAAAAAGTTAAAGCAAAAGATGAACAGCTTTGATTCACGATCAGTAAAAGGAGGCAACACAAGAGTCGATTCATCTGGAATCAAACATTTTCTTTAAGTTTGGAAAAACTACAAGAAATGTTTGTTTGTTTGTGAACTCTGTGTTTACTCTTTGAAAATCTCTCCTCTGTCTGTGAGCTCTGCAGGGAACACTGTGAGCCAGTAACACAATTACAACACAAATATAACCAGAATAAATATGATGGACCAGGTCTCCTTCAGTTGTCCTGGAGCATGCTGTGAGGTTACATGTGTCTGCTCCCACCATGCTGCAGTATTCTTAGAGAGAAAATGTCCTCACCATTGTTTATGTTGCTGTTCACAATGATTGATTCATTTCTTTCATGCTAGCAGAGACAAAAGCTGAGAGGAGACAAACTCAGCACAATGAAAGTGTTACAGTGCTGAGAGGAAAACAGTTATTTCAGCTTGTGTTCAGTGTTATTCAAAGAGCTGCTGATAAACCACAGAGTTAAAGTCAGCTCTGACATGTTATGTTATGCGTTTCTGGCAGGTAAACCAGTATCAATAATCAGTGACTGGTTCTGCGGATAATTGAAATAAACTGTCTGACAGACATGAGGTTCTATTTTTCTGAAGATCCCAGAAACTTTCCTTGCTTGGAAGTTTGAGCGAACACTGAGCATTACTTAAAATGGAGAGCAGCTCAGAGTCAAATTGATATTGATGTAGTTCCCTTCTGTTCTCATGTGTTTACACTGCTTTGTTCACTATTACTCAGGTGACCTACTGGAAACTCTCAAAATGACTGCAGGGAGTGGCTATAACTGATTGTCTGATGCAATCATTCAGATGATTTCAAGCAGTTGCTTCCTCATCTGAGTCATTTACACTGCTTCAGACAGAACAGTCACTTTGTTCTTCAGTCGATCATTAACTTATTAATGTACACAAAGTGGACATCTTGCTCCTCGCTCTCCTTTAAACTGGTGAGTCTAAAAGCTGTTGTAGATTCGATTCTTTATGTTTTCATGCTCAGTGCTTTAAAACTTCTTAAACAATGACATATTGATTTGTTGGAAACAATACAA